CCAGCTGAAGGACACAAGCACAGCGTTCACCTTGGTCTTCTAGGATGAAATCTGGGCCATGTGCAGGACACACACCCACGCGAATACGCGCAGTCGCTCATTCATCCATCCGACCCTTCGTTGCTTCATATAGTAGGTTATCTACTACTAGGCCCCTGGGGTATAGAAAGTTGCTGAGCTAAGAACGCAATGAAGGCGGTCTGTACTGGATGCTGGAAGGACCCAAAACGAGAGCAAGAGAACGAAAGAGAGATCGTATAACGTGTGAAAATACACTTCGCATTTAGACTCTGTGAATTGTGTTGTGTATACATATATACAAATGAGTTTATTTTGTATTTGTTTTGCTTAAAGAGTGAAAGATTGACCATTAAACATTAATGGCTCTAACCCATAGTTACTATAATTGAGAGTAATTTTATTTTAATAACCAATGGGACATATTTGATAGATGAGCACTTTCATGGAGAGCGTCAAATAAGATTTGTCCACTGCTGTTGGCCACTCCGCCCACTGAATTTGCACTAGTGAGCATCAAATCTACGTGCACGTCCTTTGAAGACGAGCATGTTAAGCATTGCACACCGAGTAAAGGTTACCCATAGAATTAGCAAATATTGACCCAAAAGTACGATTTTTATATGTCCAGTCATTCCCCCCCCCCATTCTCCATTTCACTGTATTTCCAATGGTCTTTAGAAGCTCACGTCTTAAATAGTGAACTACTAGAAAGAGTAGACAATAATAATGATCAGATGCATAGGAGTGAGTTGTGCAAGCACGAAGATACCGTTTGAGTCTCCCTCGAGTCAATGGTCCTTCCTTTACTGCGATTTTCATATTGTCTAAGATATGCTTCGTCTGTTTGTGAGCTGTACGTTAATATTATAGTTGGCCGAACAACTTACCCATAGAAATTGATTATATCCTATCTAAGCTTTCCTCTTTCTAATGTTGACTGTGAGTACTCTATGTGAATCTCAGATGAGGCTTTGGACATCCAAGGCTTCAATCCACCTCAAAATTCCACTCAAAGCGTAATGGCAATCACACATGTGGGCAGAAGTGAGTTGACTTCAGTGGAGATTTACTTGGGGAGTTACCTAGACCCCGATTTGCTTTATTTGACCTACTATTTGTATTTACAAATTCTGCTATCTCAAATCTTAGGAATATCCAAGTTGTTCATGATTATGAGTGATCATGTAGCTTCTTTGCCCCTCGATGGTAGAGAATAACTGAAGTGTCAAGTCAGGCCATAATAATGAGACAATAAATAATGAAGATAGTAGATAAGCATTCATTCCGTTATCCGAGGAATAAGGGTGAAAGATTGAACTTAGGAGCTTGAAGTAGTGAACCGCACATAAAATCAATATTCTGCAATGCAGATGTACAAATTTTAACTATCGATTTTCAGTCATCCTCAGAATTTAAATTCTAAAATTTTTTAGCATTGCTGTGGTAAATAAAATCTCCTGAGTTAATTATAACCTAGGACCATTTTCGAATGGACATTCTGAGTTAGGCAGAGTTAATTTCAATATTTACTTTACTAGGGAGAGAGAGAGAGAGAGAGAGAGAGAGAGAGAGAGACAAAATTGACATGTCAAGACTTGGACCTTTGTAGACAAAAAGTCCTGCTGAACTCAAATGGTCATTGGACATTATTTCTGTTGCTTGAAATAAGAGCGGAAAAGATTTAAAGACAGTTAATTATAGCACTGCAATGAATTCCGGCATTGTTATTTATGCCGTGCTATTTTTTAAATCTTAAACTGCAATAGTCAATATTTGACGACATCAGGATAACTATTTATAAGCTAACAGATCAGCTGGCAGTTTCATAATCGAGTGTCTTTCCAACAAACTGATTTAAATTTGACTTTATATAAATCAACTCGTGCAAACTTCATTCAATTCAGCAACAAATCCTTCAAAGACTGAAATCGGATTATGGAATGTGCAGAGTCATTAAATTTCTCTTAATTTGTGACTTTAGATATGAGTCTTAACTTTCGATGAAGTATTCACCTTTCAATAATTTGAAAGAATATCGATTTGAGTAGGCATTTTTTTATCAAACAAATTTAAGATTTCTGATTTCGTAGCTCTTCTACACTTGGAGGAGTATCGCCTTGTTATTAGAAATCAGGATTTTTATTGTTTACATTTTCATCTTTACTTTTCTTTCCGCATACTTATTTCACGAAAGTTCTGGTATTATTGATGTTTATTTTCTATTTCACGAACTCCCATTAATTTTATTCCACTTGATCAACCTCAAAGTTCATGAAACATTCAAACTAGAGGAGGCATAAATCAATAAATTTGAGTAATCAAATTTTGCCTAGAAAAAAAGAACAAGACAGTAGAATTCACATTGCAGCTGGCGCCGCTTTGTTTAAAATGGCTCTTTTTGCCCCCCTCCCCCCCCCCNATCAAGTGATTGACGGGACCTCATTCATGTGCCTTAAGTGCCGGAGGGGGTGGGGTGGTGTTTAAGTCGTGAAAATTGAGGAAATGAACAATGACGACACCCCCCCCTCCACCTCCTTGACAATGACAGTATGGGTGACCCAATACTTTCGGAATTTAAATTTAGTCTAAATTCTACTATCCTTTTTCATTCAATACTCCTCTTCACTCTCCTGTTAAATCCCCAACTAGACCATTGTGCACCTTGCATTCATTTTTATTTCCATGAGTTATTGTGGCTCATTTACTTATCTTTTTAAATATTAAATGGTTTTTATAAGATGTTTGTAAATATAATCGCCGTCTTACCAAGGAAATAGGATAAAGCGAGAGCAAAACTAATTTTACACTAAAAGAAATTAACTTCTTTACACCATTCTTTACCCTCATAGTCTTCATTTTACTAATCGAGGGAATCTAAATAAACGGTAAAGTATAATACAAATCAATAAATTACTACAATAGTAATTTTTTAAATGCATGTGACTTGAAATTTTGGTAATTAGATATCATCAGTGTCAATTTTTTTATGAAATGTGAATACTAATGTTAAATTATGCACCAGTAGCTGTCAAGAAATCAGCTGATTTCACCATTTTATAAACGATTTCTTCACTTTCCAAATTTACAAATTCATCTGTTTTAACCTTGAAGAGCATCTAAGTACACGATGCGGAATTCCGTTTAGAACTTAAAGAAGAGGGCACCAAAGGGGTTTGAAAACTTCCATTCTCTTTATTTTCCAGCCTATTTCACATTCTACGAAATAAGTATATATTGAGTCATGGTGATGTAAAAAGTTCCAATTACCAAAGATTAATATTAGTAGATTGAACAAAGCAGGCTGAGGATGAACCTCCTTGCAAAGTGCATTCTTATCGATTATTTTTTGCATAATCTCGCGTGAACGAATAAAACGATCATTCAATTTATTTCTGCACGGAGAAAAACCATCGAATAGTGAAATAAATTACTTTAATTATTGACCTGAATTTGCATCACGCAGCCAAAAAATTGTTTGTTTCATTAGTAAAAAATACAGCTGGTTGAAGTAAAGCAAAATCTTGGCATCTAAATTTGAAATTATAGAGTGTTTGGCAACAAATTTGTGTCTAAATTAAACTAGGTGTAACGTGCTGATTTTCGCCCAAGTAAACATATTGGATTACATTTACTTCTGAAATCTGAAATTGTTAATTTTTCTTAATTTCGGAGAATGCACGCACAGGTGTAGCATAAAACAAAATTTTAATAATTTTTAATAATATCTGTTTAATTTCGAAAGTTTTTAAATAACAAAATGAAGGCATCCAAATTCGTAATACGGTTGTTTGAGTAACAATTTATTCTTTGGGGACGATTTCAATTTTATATATGTTAAATTTTTTAAACCCTCTTCTCTCCTGTAATTTGCAGCCATTTTTCAAATAACTTTAAAAGTATGCACATATGATGATTGGTAAAAATAAAATATATTTTATCGATATAAATTATCATTATTCATTTTCAAATTGTAAGGATAATTAAAATTGACTAATAATCATGAAATTTCATTTGACATTCTTAAATCCATTTGAATCAGCTTTATGAAATTCGACCTTAATAAATGAACTAAATATGACTAAAGTCTGTTAGAGTGGGGAAATCGATTGATGCATCAAATTCTACAAATGCGTCGGAATGTCGACGAAATTGAATCTCATTTGCACGAGTCTTAGAACGAGGGGAGGTGATTAAAATCCCATAATCTGAACATAATCCTACTTCAAATTAAAAATGTCCTACCAGCAAAATCAAAATCTTTGTGTGACGCTGTCACCTGGATTTATTTTTTCTTGCTATCAATGGGGATTAAAGGTCTTATTTTATTTAAACAACTTTAAATTTTCGTTTTCATGATATAATTCCACATCAGCTATCTTAAATCCATCATATGGAATTGTATGAAGAAACTTTCACAAACTGTTTTGGGGTAGATTATTAGTACTTGGTGTAGTTCACTTTACTCTCAATAAAGCGTTCATTTGCAATCTAATTCACAAAGACTTCTCAATCTCTTAAGCAAAATTAAAATCCAATTTTCTGAAATAGGAAATAAATTTTATTTTGATACATGCGGACCTGAACTCAAATTTATTTTCTGAAGAGTGGAAGGTTGATGTGCGGAGAAGAAAACGCTTTTATTAAATAATATCAAGTTTGATTTATTAATCACAGCCAAAATTTCGTTTGAAGAAAGAGAAGTCATCACTTGCCATCTGATTTAAATTATCCCATATATTAGTGAAAAATGTACAACTTTCTCAGGTGTCTTCTTTCAAGACACTGGGTCCTGAAAGTCCGTTCTCCAAAGCATCTGTCTCTTAGTATCAGAAAATAATACAAATTGTCATGTCTGATAGAGTTTAAGTCTTCATTTGGTCTTCACATGCAAAAAATGCATCTAAGTGAATGAAATAACATGTTATTCTGCACAAGTAATCAGTTGGACCTTACTTTGACTTGAAACTATTCTTAATAGCATGCGAGACACACATTGGAATCCGCGTTTTACCCAATTGAGCCTGGATCTGGCTGGTCGGTTGCTGAATGCACGGGCCTCGCGCACAAACCACACAGTGGATCGGTGGCCTGAGGCCCAACTCGTTCTCCTCTCGCCGCCCGATCAAATCAGCAACACCTCCAGCACCTCTGGTAGCCACCTAGCCACTTTCCACTTGCTCAAACATATTCTTGCTAATTCAATGCCTCTTGAGACTGTCTTTCAAAACAATCACAACAATGATGCTCCCAGCAGCCTGGGTACTTGGCCACAAGTAAGTGCAAATTTGCTTGAAATATGATCTCTGGCATTAAATTAATCCCTCAACGCCCGATTTATTTTTATTGAAAAATGTACTCAACTGCACTTACGTGTGTGTCACATAATAGACTGGTGCAGACGACGTGATGAGTTTTGCTGGTGTATCAGGAGAAAGCTATAGACACGTATTGAACGCTTTTCAAACGGCAAACCCTTTCGAATATTCCAGCCACAAATGTCTTAGAAACAAAGCAGTTGCCCAATATCTGCATATCTAGTTGCTATCCAATCCAAGATCTTTCAATTTCAACGTCCACTTTCATTTCACCTTCTATGACCTTCTTTAATTTAACTGTTCGTCATTGGGACACTTGAATGTTATTCCTTAAACGGATAATGGAATTCTAGCTCAATTTTATTTCTCCAATTAAGTATCACATTGTTTGATTTCTCTGAAAATTCTCAAGAAATATTGTTCTAAAGTACAATTGGATTTATTACACTTTGCATGGGAAATTTTAAGAAATGCGATTTAGTCAGCTTATGTGATAGAGAAACCGATTTTTTTGTCGAAGGGTATGATAACAAACATTGTCCAAGCACGGAAGGCTGCCGATTGGGAATGTTGTAGCTATGGCTTTTCAGGTTAATATAATTTGCGGTCTCATCTTCTCAAGGAAAGTTTTCTCATAACTTTTCACCTATATCAGGGTGGGGGTGGGGGGGGACATTTATATAATAACACCAGAATAGCACCATTATTCTCAAACTGAATCACGCCAATTAAAATGAACCCTTAAGAAATTGAAATAATCTGACAATTCATTTTATGATGCTAAAAACCAACTTGTGTCAAAGACGTTAAAGAAACCTTTTATACCAAGACAGGTTGCAACGAAGGATAATGTAATGGATTCTCTTAATAAATAAAGCAAACTCTTATCCAGAAGACCTAATGCTATAAAAACTGCGCTTACATTATAAATATGGCTGATAAAAAGCACAAATCCTGAAAAAAATATTCTGCTCTCTAGACGATTTTTAGTGTTGTTTACAAGTAGGAAGAAGACATGATGTCTCGGCTTTAGTGGCCCCCAACTCCGCATGTTCCATTATTTATGATTGGGTTTGTCGATTTGAACAGGTACAACAGCACTTTACTACCCCACGATCCCTGATCTTAACGACACGAATGACAACCCCTAAATCGTCGATTTCACATCCACCACCACCACCTCAACCATCGCCTGCATTGCCAACTTCAACAATGCCTAATCCTCTCTTCAATCCGTTGGCCCTTCAGCCACCCAATATAGGACTCCCACTTTTCTTGCTCACACAGTCTAATCCCTACTTATTTCCCTCATCCTCTCTACCCCTTCTCACACCTCCAGCCACACCGACTCTCACTGGGAACCTGCTGACTGATATTCTAGCCTTGACAAGTCCTTCCACGACAGCAGCTGCAGCAGCAGCAATGGCGGCAACGGCAGCGACAACGCAATTGCCTGCGTTGAGGCTTCCGACGATGCTTCCGCAGAATATGATTACTTCTGTGCCAACACCCCTGCAAACGTTTCCACAGTTGATAGGAGGAGATAAGAATTATCAGCTGCAGTTAGATGCGCAGAACTTCAACTTCTGTCACGTTCAAGTGGTGTGTTTTAAGGATGAGGCGAAGACACGGTTCATGTGCTCGGTAAGTGGCATCGTATCGATTAGATTTAATTGAACGTTTAGCTAGTTAAAAATATGAATTTGTAGTATTTAAATTGGAAAGACATGTAAAGGTCTGTGACGCCCATCGCCGGATTGCTATAATCTTGAGGGAAGATGAATGTTCATCGTCTTTTGTTCCATAAATAAATAAACACAAAAAATAAACAAAACTCTATTGTGTTTTCGGTATTTGTTCACAAATGAATATAAGTAAAGTCATGATGAAAGCAGCGTTTAAAATTCAGCTAAGTTAAATTCATCAATTTGCCAATTTATTGAATGAAAATATTATGAATAGATATTGGCAATTTGATTAACCGTTCAATAGGATTTAGGAACCTTCATTCATGAATTTACTCAGCAATTTGGTTGAAAAATTGCGGGAAAATTTGGACCATTCGGACAAGTTAAGCGTAACAGGTAAAACTGCGAATAGTCGTAAAGCGAAGTCGTATTTCAAGTTATCTCTGACACTTACGAAGCTTTTCTGGGCTTCAACATCATAAATGTGTTTGTCTCGTATTGGGTAATATATTAATTATCAACAATTTTTTATTATCAAATTTGACAAAATACTAGGAAACTTGGTAATCCAATCAATCGAGATTGTTATAAAAAAAGCAAATTATGGGCGGAATATTCTGAAATTAACTGGTAAATCAATTTTTATTTTTGATATATTGTAAAAATTAATCAAAGAAAGAGCTAGAATGCCATTATTATACTAAACCATTCCGAGTGTAAACTTTGGGAGATAAGCTAATCATCCAGCGCCATGTTGATAATTTTAGTGAAAAAGGTAAAAAAAATATTAAAGATGAGACAAACCAGACGGTCATAATTAATCATAACCAAAATAAAATGTTTTTATAATGTCTCCGTTGATCACTTTTGTTACAATGGCCTGTAGTGGATTGCTACCTTAGTAAAGCCTGACTGACTCAGAAATCTCTATGGCAGATTCTCCTACATCTAGCTAGACTCCCAGAACCTGCTAAGCTATAGCCCAGCTATAAAGGAAACAGACGTGTAGCACGGAGCACGTTTATTCAGTAAGTATCTTGCGGATCAAGTGTGTTCACGCAGGGAGCTACTCATGATCAGGATGGAGGATTAGGTTAAACAGAGGTTGATGATTGGTCACTGTTTGTACGGCCGCACCTCCCAATCCTGGCGAGCAGACATGCAGGCATACGATGACGCACACAGCGATAACGTGTCCCACAAATCATAGGGAAATACTATAACTCCTATGGAAGTGAAAAATGATGACATGGAGCCAGAGCTCTCAATCAGCGACAGTGTAGAATCAAACGAATAAAAAATATCAACCTTGTTGAATCTTCTTCCCATGTCAATTGTACCCAAAGCAAAAAATCAGTCTCAAGATTCTGTCTGATTGACTGATAGACAAATCCGTCGAGTCATCTAAGGGGACTATATAAGATTTCGGCCTCTTTCGGACTAAATATATCACCCACGATAATCAGCGTCCATTATGAGTCTCGTTTATTAATGTCATTCACTGCTCAGTTTTATATTTTGAGAAATGTGGTGCGGGATAGACTTACCTCCATGTGGGGCACCCTGGGCAACGTATTCTCATACGGCAAAAAGTCTATTAACCGACAGTTGACTTCTCACTTCAAATTACCATCAACCCACTATATTTCATATTCGACTACTTCCACAGTAATCACCTCACCTTTTTTCTACCTTTTATATCTTTGAAACACTCTTCTCTTCCCTCCCCCCCCCCACCCCATCTCGACTTTTTCCCTTCCATGTTCCTTCCTCTCTGTGAAGTCTGAAGTCAACTAAAGGACTAATGATAACTATCAAAACGCCTGCCATTTGATATGAATAAATATTTTGAGAAATTTATGAGAATTTCCGTTGCCGAAACGAACTCCATATCGCCTAATTCCTTGATTCCAGAAAAAATGTCCAGTGTAAAGAATTAACCTGCAAACATAATCAACCACATTAATAATAACAATTAAAAGATATTCTTTGAGTCTATTGACACTTTGGGCTGAGGTGATAATTTCGATTGAAGTAGTCTCATTGCCACATCAAACGTCGCTTCCACTAGATTCATGTTTATGACAAAAGATACAAGTTGAGGTCGCAATTAAAAGCCTAATTTCAATGCATAGGTTGTTTAATTAATTCGGTCATGCCAAAAATAATACATTCCTTCCCCTATTCGTCTATTGTGGTTAACTAGCAGACATAATCATAAAGATA